ACTGTTGCGGTGTCCATGTAGATGAAGGGCGCACAAAGTGATATTGTGGCTACAAGAAAAAGTGAGGTTTACAGCGAGCATCGTTCACTTTGGTAATAACCAGTGGAACGCGTCACGTAGTAGTGAGTGGTACTGGCCATCACAGAATCCGATCAATCGGTTGGCTTCGAGAGAGATGTTCTATGCGTACATCGAATGTGGTTAGTGACTGTTGCGGACAAAAGGCAACTAAGCCGAAGAAGACGGATTGGCACGGCCTAGCGCAAATGCGTTTGATCACCAGTGCGAGCACCACATCTGTAATTTGGGCAGTCCCGGATGGCTTTTAACATACTGCAGGCAGGCACTGCTGATGCAAGCGGTCAGTTGTTCTGCCGCAACGACTTTGCTTCATTGCCGAATTCTTTTGTCCACAGCATGTTCATTTTGTCCGCTGGTCACATGGCCTGCCCTCTTTAATCGTCCACCATTCTTCTCCAAAGAGCCAATTTCTGACATACCGTCGTTGACACCAAGAATGAAAAGCTCGATTAAAAATAATGGCCATTGAAAGACGCGCGCTTCTTTTACGTACATTTTTATTTGGTGGAGGCAATGCACAAACCCATTATGGCAAGTTCATGCATGACAGATGGGTAGTGTAAGTGGTCTTATTGTGACCACGTGGGAAAGTAAAATTCGATGGGCAGAGCATGTAACTCGTCGCACTGACAGCTGGTAAGCGCCGCGTATTAATGAATGGTAACTAATAGGAAATAAACGATTGCCCGAACGGCCTTTAAAGCCTATGGGGACATCCTAGAAGCATCAGTAGTATGGGATCCACATACCGACTTTCTGGATAGTTTTGGTATTTATGGCGTATAAAAAAAAAACTTTGCGATAAGAAAATGGTTTTCTGAAAACTGTGTTTTACGAATATTTGGGATAAAATTATGACAATTCACCAATGTGGACTTTGAAATATTGCACTCAACTGACATCATTGTTCAGGAAGGTGATTTGTTTTCGCGGCGCTGAATCATGCTTTTTTTTCACAACACTTTCAAGTGGACGTGTTACATCTGTGTTTGTCATTAATCTGAAATCCAGGTTTTCTGAAAGAGACAGATGTTTAGTCTTTCTTAATTTTCAAACAAAGCAGTGTGATATAATTTATGCCCCAAAATTTTAGAAAATTTTGTTGCTAATTTTTTTACGTAGAACGTAAGCAGCCTGCCAGAGCCGTTGCATCCAGATTATTTGACTTTGAAAATAGAGAAGGCAAAAGGCTTAAATTTTCGTTTTTTTTTTATTTTGCAGATACGCAACAGTTTTTCGCCTCTCTCGCATCTGATTGGGTCCGAGTAACTCGATGTGTTTTTGAAGTGACATTAGCCTTGGAAGCTGCCGCTTTGTAGCTTGCTTAATTTTCTGGTGATAAAATCAGTCTGAAGCTAGGCTCGAGATCACAGGTTAGGACAGAGGGAGAGGTTTGAGTTCACCAGGTTTTTGGCTTGTACAAGGATCTGATCGTGAAACTTCAGCTTCCTATGTTTCGTAACTGTGGAGCTAAATTATCTTGCAGAGAAGGCGTGCACGCACACAGACCAGAACACACATGCACGTGAACAAACGCAAACATGCAGACATATGTATACATAAATACACATTCTCATGGCTCGTCTTAATGCGTTTCCACTTGCATAAGTGTAGAAACGTATCAAACCGGACAAAAAGAAGCAATTTGGACAGGAAACTTTAAAATGGTCTCACTTTTTCTGAATTGGAAGATTACGCTTTTTGATAATCTCTTTCACTGCTGGCTGTCTGCCTTTGCTTGGAAAACCATGTACATGAAAATTTATGCTGACAATGGCACTGTTTTGTGGCAAAAATCAGTTTTATGTATCCATCATTCCGTTCTGCCTCGCTTATGCTGACCCCTATTTCTACTCCAGTAATGTCCAACAGACGACGGATATTTTTTTGAATTATTAATATTTCTCTCCTTCATCTTCCCTTCGCTCTTTTCTACTCTGTTTTCACTTTAACGGGCCCAGAAGATGCCGATTAAATGCAGCATTGTTCAGGCTAAAAGTAAGTTTGTTTTTTAATGCAGTATTAGGGACTGATGAAAACACAAATAAACACAGTTTCTTTTAAAAAGCCACAAACAATGACTTTCATGTTGTAATTTCCAGTATTCCTGTCTTTTGCTTATGTGGTCAGTGGTGGACTGGTGTGAACAGCTGAATTATGAACAGTAATAATTTAGGAGGCGAGTGGCAAACATTTATTGCTTTCTGTTTTATGATGAGATGCCTAAGTCATTAAAGTAGTGTAAAAGTTCCTGGCTGAAATGAGATTCATTTCAGCAAGGGAGAGGCAAAATCTCAGTAAGAAGAAGTGGAATTCGGAACAATGCAAATTGCGCAAAAAAATGAATGCTTGGTTAGGGGACCCTAGTTCATCAGTACTGCCGTATCACCGAACCAGTCGATGTCACCAATATACAGCCACATTCGGAGTGCAAAAGACTAAGATCCTCTTGCCGTGCATTCTGCACTGGCGCTATCACTACGTATGCTTTTTTGAAAGTCGTATGAGCGAAGGGCATTCTTTTTGCTAATACCACTCTCTAATATGCGACTTTCGCTGTTTGCTAAATAGTGAGGAGTATGACCCTCAAAAATTTCAAACTCGCATTTTTGTCTTTTCTCGAGTTGCAGTATCAGCTAAAATTTGCTCTTGCAGTCGAAAATCGAGACATAAGGAATCGCTGTGTCGACTTTAGATTTGTGGCCCCGGCTGTGTTTGTCTATTCTGTTGGCAAATTTTAGTTTCCAAACTAACTTAATTCTTGATCTGAATCATATCTACATGCACATACACACACATAATGGCATGTTTTTGTTGAGATTTGAATTATGCAAATAAGTGCAAAAATCAAGTTTTATGCAGGCGAGAAAACGGTCGCTAAACAACATTGTCATGAGTAGTTGTTTTCCCAAATTCATTCCAATGAGAAGGTCCAACTGTCACAAACGATTAGAGCAACGATGATATCTGAAGAGTAGCTCTGCGCAAGTTAGCATTGATGATAAGCAAGGGGGATGGACGGGTATTCAGGAAATGTATGTGTGGGTCAAATCAGCCACTATTTTTTCGCTGTCAGAATCGTGATCCAGAATGTTTTGTATGTATGGATCTGGTTTTCCGTGTTTTGTGAACAAATTGCACTGCGAAGCGGTGAAATAATCAGCTTAGTGTGGATCGGCAGGGTAAGGTAGGCAATGTTTTATTGTCCTCGCTGTCACCGTCACAGTTTCCCATCGTTTAAAAAACGAACAGCTTCTTGCATCTCTTGCTACACTTTTGTGAGCAGACAACTTCTTGCTTTTCATCGTTTAAAAACCGCTTCTTATTTTTGCGATTTTCTGCTTTGCTTAAAGAAACCAGTCACTTTTACATTTTTCAATTCTAAAAAATGCTCCGACAGTAATGGATCAGCATGAAAATACTTCGTTTAGTTTCTGATGCTCAGCTACGAAAACACACGCTAACCCACTGGTTTATTTTGCCTCCAACATGAGCATGTCAGTTGTAATTCTTTCGGAAAACGTAGCGCTTCGTTGTTCGATTAGAAATGTTTATGTTAACCTGGTGTATTTCTTGGCTGTTTCAGGCAAAGCGGTAGCAAGCGGTGGTGGTGCGTGATGGACGAAGCGAAAAACATGGCATTACTCTTTTTCATGGATCATCTGATGCAGAAGAATGGCAGGCGTACGATTCACGATCTTAGCTGTCAGTTTGGCGCACGTGGTTTTACCGCTGAAATGCGCGATGCTGTTGGTACAACACAGGAGGGCCTAACGGATTTCCTCAACCAGCACCCTTCGCTGTTCACCGTCGAAGGCGATCAGGTTACTATAGGAATTTCTGCTTAAAATTTGTTTTGGCTTTTGCTTCTTACATTAGGTGACTGTGAAGCGGTTTTGTCCATTTAGGTGTCCGCCTGTTTGTTCTCTCAATGACTGAACTTTTTTCATTCAAATTTTTTGTTTCTGGTACGTTGAAAGCCGTTTGTTTTTGTTTTATTCCAGACTACTTCCTTCTCACGATGTGATCCATCATTTTGTGTATTTTATTCGTATGGAAAAATACTATTCTGAGCGGAAGGAAAGTAAAATCTGCTTGGCAGGACAAAAAAAGTTTCTCATTTTGCTGATGGATGGTGGGGGTCGCATTTCACTCATTAGTATATTTACGAAAAGAGGAGAATGACATAAATGCGTAGCAAAGTCTGAAGGTGTTAGCTTCGAGCATGTAACTTAAGACAAAATGTTCTGTCTCAGCTCTTACCGACTCCTAAATTAGGATCAGTTCATCACATTTGATGTACTGAACTATTTTGCATTTTCGTTCAAGTACACTTTCAGTTTATAGGTTTGCTTAAATGGATTCGGTGATATGACGGCCAAGAATAACCCCTTATTGCAAGCAACAGCAAACGCCAGGAATCGCGATTACGTCAAAGAAGCAGTGCAGTTTTTTGAAGCAAAGCTGCAAAAATTTGGACCCGAATTGCAGGTAACATGTTAAATTAGGCGTGAAGTATTTTCGTAGTATTTTTTCTTTTTTCTTGAAACATATTTCCACAAGCAATTTGTGCATTGGAAAACAATTGCAGATCAAAAGTTTGCTTGGTCATCGTTCGCAAGCAGCACCGGAAGTGCGCCTGGTGTCCGGAAGGCATCTCAAGGATTTCTGCGAATTCCTCCAATCCCAGAGTGATTATTTTGTGGTTGAAGGTGATCGTGTGCGGCTAAAAAATATGCCGGAGCCCAGTAATGCTGGTATTGAGTTGGATGATGAAGGCAAACCATTAGCTGGTGTCAAGGCCAAGCAAGCCGCAGTCGAATATCTTAAATCGGTTGTAGAGCAGGTTTTTCACCTTTCAACCATTTCACTTCTTTTCTCATGCTTGAAAATCTTTCATTTACTTCTTTTAGGCGTCTAGTACTCATGTGTAATCCGCCTTGCCTTTCATTCGCCAGTCACGGTATCAGTAGCTATTTGAA